AACGTATGCAATAATTGTTGAGATCTTAAACGTATTAATAACTAAAATTAAAACATTTTAAATTGTAGGAAAAATGTAGAGCTCCAGATAATTGAAAATGCAATTTTCTATATAAGAAAACGTAGGCCTACACGATCTTTCTGTGAATGTTAAATCTTTTTCTACTGTATTTCCGTCATTTTTTATGCCTTTTTTCCTCAGTTATTATCGCTTGCCTCATTTGTTTTTTTACCTTTTCTCCTTTTTGTTGTGTCAATTTGTGTACTTAAGGGAAGAAGAAAAAGAAATGGTTTTTCTTTTTATTTTTTATATGGATGTGCCATTGGTCAAAGTCAATAAATATGATTTGTTTTCATGGCTACTGTGAAATTCAGTTTTTTTTAATCATTTATATTTTTACAGTATTGAAAATCAACTTTGGATATTACTCACATTGAAAATTGATTTCCAATATTTGTATATGGGAGATATCATAAGTTGAAATAGGGCTCATTTTTTCATTCTCAGAAATACGAATTATTGGTAAAATATAATAAATCACATAATTCAATATATAACTTTTTAAAAGGAGGTTTGTAGGGAGGTAGTTACAATGTTGCTTTTATCTGCTTGTGTATATGTCAGGGGAGGGGTGACAGATAATAAGTATGAATTAACCACTTTGATGAACTATTTGTATATCAAAACCATTATGATTGTGATTATGGGGAAGATGATGATTATGATGATTATAATAAAATGATATTTTTTTATGATGTTAGGTCTACAGTGTGGAGGATTTAAATGCAAAGCTCCACACAATGTTGTCTCGTCATTGGTGACCTCATTAAAAGCTTAATGTGTTTAGGTTTCTGATGTATTTAGCATTAGGTGTTTGACACCATGATGTTAAATATCTAAGCACATTTAGTTCTAATTACGTCAAGACCCTAAGTATGTTAAGATATATCTAAACGTTTAGTTTTTAAACATGTCACCAAAAGCAGGACAACATTGCGTGGGGCTTTGAATTTAAATCCTCCACGCTGATTTTACAGTGTAATGACAAAACGTTTTATTTATTTTATACGTCATATTTCTTTTTTATTATATTTATGTATACTATTACTTCATGCGTGTAACAAATTTTGATATATTTTATTTTCAGTTTCATGTGAACCATCGTTTATACACCTGAACACTTCTGGCCAATCGCAATCATTTTCGTCTCCAAATTACCCGAACAATTACTACAATAACTTGTATTGTCAATGGATAATATATGTCCCAGAGGATCTAGCAATAC